GAGCACAAGTGCTATGAGGAGAGGCTGAGGGAGCTGGGGGTGTTCAGCCTGGAGAAGAGGAGGCTCAGGGAAGACCTTATCTCCCTCTCCAACAGGAGGACAAGAGGGCATAGATTCAAGCTCTGCCAGGGGAAGTTTAGATTGGATATTAGGAAGAGATTTTTGACAGAGAGAGTGCTCAGGCATTGGAATGTGCTGCCCAGGGAGGTGGTGGATTCACCATCCCTGGAGGTTTCCAAGCTGAGACTGGATGTGGCACTTAGTGCCATGGGCTAGTGACCACAGTAGGGTTGGACTGGATGATCTTGGAGGTCTTCTCCAACCTAGTTGATTCTGTGATTCTAATAGTCCCAGTGACCAGGTGTACTATTTCACACAGCATGGGAAAAAATACTTAGAAGTCCTAAGACAGTGTGAAAAACCTGCTTAATAAGATAAATCTTTCCTATAATCAAGACATATGCTTTTCCTGCTTGCAATCAAATTTTTTACTACATACAAACACACATCAATTTTTCCTGCCATACAAAATTAAAAATGGACTTTGCTTTCAGAGGTCTGTGACAAGGGAAGGCAATGGATGCTTTTTTCCCCCCCCCCATAAATCAATTCCATTCCCTCAATGGTAATGTACAGTAAGACATCTGAAAATGGGATGCCTGAAACTATGCCAAGAACTTTCCCATTCACAGAAATACTTGCAAATACCAGTCAGAGTCCACCCACCAGTCCACACTGAATACTGTGCAGCTCTCCATTAATGGACACTCAGGAATGGTGACTAAACAGGAACTTGTAGCCTGTTAATGACTGAAACTTCCCAATATGGCTAAGGCATGGATAGCACACACACACACCCCTAGACAGAGCTGATTTCAACAAAAAAGATGCAATTGTTTACTTCATAAATTCACCCTGAAGAGGAATGAGTATTTTCCTCATAAAGCTTAGTGTTTTCTACACGAGTACCATCTCATTTTTGCAGAGGGATTTTACCTCACAGAATTCTTTCAAATGTGTTAACCTAGGTCTGAAAGCAATAGATCACATATGTTCCTTGCAGACCTAGTACACTTCCTTCCTCTAAGATGTTCTAGACTTGTATTTCATGTGAAAGAAACACTACATTGCCACCAATTAATTTTTGTACCCTCTCCCCCAAATAATTAAGAAACTTTCGAGACACTAACAATACAAGATATATTTATATTCAATGGAGGAATAAAAAAATTACTGCTGTCAACTTAAAATATGAAAAATAAGAACCAAATCACAAGAACTGAATGGCATTAATTTGTCAACAGGAAGGAGCAAAGTCCATGCAGATGGATTTTTGTACAAGGAATAATGATCACTGTGTGGCACATGGCTAATGTTTGGTTGGGTTTCTTTTTTTTTTTTTTTTAACCATCTTGGAGCAAAACAGTTTCCTTCCCAACATCTTGCACAAATTATAAATAATAAAATATCGATGCACCAAAGGTGCAAAGGGACCTGTATAAATCTTCCTTTTTATTTGCTCACTAAGTTCTTAGGTCAGCTCTCGCTAACATTTGCCAAGCATCCTTCTGAGATGACTTGAGGAAGCAGGAATTGGATTCTTGAATAATTGATTGCATCTTTAAAGGAAAAAAGAAATTGCTACATCCTTCCTATTTCTGATTAGGATGCTGTCCTTGGACTACTTCATACCACAGCAGCAGGACAAGAGGACAGAGACTCAAGCTCTGCCAGGGGAGGGTTAGGTTGGATATTAGGAAGAGATTTTTTTTCCAGAGAGAGTGCTCAGGCATTGGAATGTGCTGCCCAGGGAGGTGGTGGATTCCCCATCCCTGGAGGTTTCCAAGCTGAGACTGGATGTGGCACTTAGTGCCATAGGCTAGTGACCACAGTAGGGTTGGACAGGATCATCTTGGAGGTCCTTTCCAACCCATCTGATTTTATGATATATTCCTGTGCTCATGTATTTTTTCTGATCTATGTTTTTTTCTTTATAGTTATATACATTCTGCACAAGAGAAATTAATTTCCATAACAGTACCATTTAATAGTTCAGCACATTCTAAATGTGACTTCAAACAATCAAAGAGGAGCTATTTAATTGCATTTGTCTCATTCTAAACAGAAGATGCAAAGCACCTACAAGTGGATTACTTTTTTCCACCCAACCTCCCAAGACGTGTTGAAATGATTGTGCCAACACCAATTGTATTTTAGGTAACCTTTCCTTAAAGGTTACAAACCTTGGAGGACAGTTGTTTCCACCACATTTTCTCCTGCATTTAAAAGTGTTTCCAACAGAGAACAAATGAATTATATACTTACAGCATGGGGTGTTTGGTCTGCTCACAAGCTGTGGGAATGCACAGATCACTGACATCTCTACTTCATGCTTTTGATTTTGATCCTTTTTTGCACTCTCATCAGCCCAAGCTACTGATTTTTGCCTTTGAATCAGCTGCTCAACCTCCCCAAACTCAGTCTCAGCTACATCATTTGTCAATCCAGCTTCTTTCAACATCAGGTATTGCTTGCGAAGAACTGGAAGCAAAGCATTTAGTGCTCTGGAAAACAAGAGGCAAGACAAGTTTGCTTAAGAAAACACAATCCTAATCCAGGGACAAAAGTTTTAGAAGCAATTTGCTTCTGTTGCACTAAATTCTCTACATAGGTCTTCTGAAGTTACAAGTGTCAGAGCAGAAGTTTTATCACACCTGCCATGAAATGATACTTACTTTTCTGTTTGCTTATAATACTGATCATGAAGGGACACCAGAGATAACATGTGCTCAATCTGGGCTTTCAGGTCCTGAACTTCTAGGTTTAAATGGCAATACTGCAGATCTTTATGAAGTTCCTTTGTAGCAAGAAAAAAAAAAAAAAGACAAAAAATCAAACAACTGCACATCAGACTGAGAGGGAGAAACTAAAATTTCAACTAAAAATAATATTAATTCAACCTATATTGAAAAGGACAGATGGAGTGGAGCTATGTTATTATAATAAAGTTTTATGGCAGAAAGGTATGCATTGTGTTTTATTTGCATGCATAAATATTGCTTTGCAGCTAGATTCCTGTGACCATGCCAGTCCCAAAACATTTCTGCCTCTGTGTACTCACTCCACAAATTTTACTTTACTTCAGTTACTAAACTGTTGTCAACTCACACACTGTACCCTTTTCCCAATTGTCCTCCCCATCCCCAACCATGGCAAAGTGGCATTTCACCTCTGGAATACACCCATCTTGCCCCAGGAGACGCATTTCATTTTCAACACGGTGCAGCCAACTGGTGTTTTCCTCAAAGTGTTTGACTGCCTCTTCTTTCTTCTTCTGCATGTGCATGCAGTTCATTTTCAGCACTGCAAGCCTTTGATCTCGCTTGCAAATGGCCTTAAAAAAATTAAAAACCCAGCATTTAAGGGAAAAACCTTCAAATTCACCACATTGACTCTCTCTACATTAAGGTTTTTTCCCTTACTTTTATACAACATGATCAAATAAGTCCTAGTAACTCAAGTATGGATATGAACAAACCATTTTATCTGCTTTGTTTTATTAATGTAATATGTCCTGGAAAATCCAACTAAAGAATTAAGTATTGGGCAAAAGGGAAGTCCTTGATCTTCAAGCATCAAATTCTTGTGGTGCTTCTTGGAAATTTGGCAACAAAAAGGCACAAAAGTAGCAACAGCAAGTTGGATAAGCATGAGGTAGTGTCCTCACACATTAATGCAGCAGAAAGAGATGATTCACTGTGCTAAACTCACCTTTTCTACCTTTTCTTCAGAGCACATCAGTTGAATTTGTTCATGAGATTGATCCTGGTAATATTTCTTGAGTGTGTTTTCTTTCAGTTTCTTTTCCACCTTGAGGTATTCTTGTTGGATTTCCCCACGGTTTGCAAAGACACTTTTAAGGATTTCTTTGTATCTATTAGAATGAAAGGAGCAGAATAAATAATTAATTACTTCCTGAAGACTTTTTTGTTGTGACCATCTCCTTTACAAGGGGAACTGTCAATTCCAACTTAATAAAATAAACATACTAAAATTAAGAGAGAAGAAGTGAAGCTCTGGTAGAGATGAGCACTAAAGAAAGGATCAGGACATCAGTAAGGATTTTATGTATTTGAACAGAAGTAGCAACTTTATTTCACAGTCTAAAGTTTGAACAACTGAGTCTTACTGTAGTGTTTTATTACTCTCCTTTGAAAAACAAACAGAATTAAGACCTTCTTCTTCCCCAGTTTTAGAAATACAACAGTTTTCACTAAATGTCCAGAGAATGCTATTGTATCTAGGTAAAACTGTGCACTAAAACACTAACAGAATTCAGAAATATTATTTCTTTGATGAACAGTAATAGGTTAATGGTTGGACTCCACAATCTTCAAGGTCCTCTCCAACTTAATAGATTTTATGATAATGAAACAACCAACTGCAGAGTATCAGAGTTCTTACCCTGAACTGTTACTATCTATACTACTATACTATCTATTGCTTGGAGAATTGTTGTTCTCCACAGTATCCATAGAAACATGGTTCAGCCCAGCTGCCTGTGAAACTCAGCAAGAAATCAAGGTGAATCCTCTGTTTCCCTCGTAGTACAAACCTGGGCATAATTTAGGAGAGGCTGCAGATTCTGCTTCTATGTACAGTCCCTATGAGGAACCATTACCAGCAAATCAATCCCCAGTGTCCCAAATATAGCACCAAATCTAGAAGCCTTTGCAAGGCTCCTGCCTTAAGCTAGATCACTCTTTCATAAGCCCACTTCTGTTCTTATGGAGTTATCATCTCTTCTTCACTTGAAAAATTACAGTGTTATCCTGTAGGTATATCCAGGGCATGAACCCACTGGTCTACCTATTCTGAAAGAGCTTGTGGACTGCTGGTTGCAGTTCCAAAGGCAGTGCTCACTGTGTGCCTCAGCAAGCTCAAGACCTGCAGGGCTGGCAGACAACACATCTCCAAGCTTTAGACAGAGGGAGAAGGAATGAAGTGGTGTATTCACTGAGAGCGAAGCAAAAACCATAGGTAGCTGGAATGAAATTCAAGACTGTGGATAAGGCTCTCTTCCCTGTCCCAAACAAGAGAGAGAAGGAAGCAGAACACCTTCAAAACCTGTAAATGGACGTGGGGGAAATCAACACATCACCCACACCATCAGTAGGATGAACCTGACAGGATATTCATGAGAAGGAGAATGAGACATCCACTTTATTTCTGCTATCTAGAGGGAATGAGAGAGGCTTACGTGTGGCTCCATGGATATTCCCTAACATCAAAACCCAAACATGCTCTGACCGACAAATCTTGGCATAGAACATGTCCAGCATTTTGAAGAGATATTTTAGAGACCTTGCCCTTGACTGACTCTTCCCACACACAAAGAATGAAATAAAGGGCAAATCACAGGAAATTAAAATCAATCTTAAAGACATACAGTGCAAAAATATGCAGGAAAACTGTCAGAACTATCAAGATGACTTAGAAACCCACACTTCTTTTGAAAATTAAATTTAAATAACCTGAATGAGAGGGTTTATTGAAATGTCTGCAATGCCAGTAAAATGAAGCACAGTTAGAAGACATTTTGCTTTGAATGGGGTTTTACTTCACCTTAAAGTTTTCCAGTTAAAAAAAATACCACATTCAAAGGGCCAATTAAAAAAAAATTAACTGAATCAACTTAGGTGAATAATTGCCAGAAATATGTGGTGAGATATGCAGAGATACATCCAGAAAGACTTTCACACCCAAACCTAACCTTCCCTTGGAATAGATTGACTCCTGCAACAAATTCATACTTCACATCTTAGTTTGTTACTTTGTGTGTGCTCTCATGGGACTGTCACATCAGAAAAGATAGGAACATCACCAAGAAGAAAGAGAGGCCAAAAAATGTAAAAATTCATAGAAAATAAGGAATCTACAAACATAAATTGAACTCTTTGTGGAAAGAAGAATGTCAAGTTTTTGTCTCTCTTTACCTTTCAGGAAAGATACTACTTGAAGTAGTGTCTGCCAACAGTAGCAGGAGCTGCTGTCATTTATGCAAACTACATTCTGCCTACCCACAAACACAACCTGTTTCAGCTCTGCTGAAAGCTGCATTCATATGCTCCTTCCTGTCACATGTCACTTCCTGCATCCCCCTCTCATTGCAAATGCACCACCAAGTTGTTCTAAAAAGAAGCAACATGTTATGCAAAGCCATCCCAAGCCTAAGTAAAGCAATGCTGAAGTGAGGAAACCAAGACTGAAAAGAGAAAGTTTGTTTTACAAATGCTTTTACAAGCTGTACAGACTCCAGTTTGGAAGCAAGAGGAGATGTGATTTGTTTACCTTCCTATTTCCACTTGCTGATGGTTTGAAGGTTCTGCAGCATTGTGATTTTCAGGAATGCTTGCTTGCTTTTCTTCATATTGTCTCAGTTTCTCCTTCAACATTAGGATCTAAACCAAAAGAGGCACCTTTTAGCTGAAACTTACTGGGGTTTTTTTTGTTTGTTTGTTTTTTTTAAACCTATTATTCTGTGCTGATATGCAACTTTACAAATAGTAGTAGGTGATATTCTTATCAGATACCAAAATTACTTCAAAATACTACATGGGAGAAATAGGACAACATTGCCCTATAGGTTCAATTCTATAAACTTTTTTTTTTTTGTAGTCAAACAATCTTTCAAACTTTTTACAACAGACGACTTCTCACCCTCTGCAACTCCCTGACAGGAGGTTGGAGTCAGGTGGGGGTTGGTCTCTTCTCCCAGGCAACCAGCAGCAGGACAAGAGGGCACAGACTCAAGCTCTGCCAGGGGAGGGTTAGGTTGGATATTTGTAAGAGATTTTTTCCAGAGAGAGTGCTCAGGCATTGGAATGTGCTGCCCAGGGAGGTGGTGGATTCACCATCCCTGGAGGTTTTCAAGCTGAGACTGGATGTGGCACTTAGTGCCATGGGCTAGTGACCACAGTAGGACTGGACTGGTTGACCCTGGAGTTTTTTCCAACCTGGTTGATTCTATGATTTCTCACATACCTCTTTCCTTTGTTCGTTGCAAATTTTGACATATTGGCTTATGTGACTGTCCAAACTAACAACGTTGCTCTTCAACTGTAAAGAAACAAGTTAGAAGTTAAAGTGTTTCCTTCATGTTTTCATGCATAACAAAATACACTAGGTATAAGTACTACATAGTTACACATGCACTGTATTGTGCATGTATTGATACAAAAGTGAACGAAGATGTAATATTCCAAAAGAAATAACTCTTTTCTCAATGCTGCATTATTATACTTCAACAAGAGAGCAATAAATACTAATATACTCACAGAAGACTTGATATCCTTTGCTCGGTTTGCATACTTAAGGGTATTATAGGTGTCATCATAGAACAAAGAGGATGGACTGACAGCAGCTATCATTATTGTCCTGCAGTTTCCCCCAAGAGAATCTTTCAGTAAGCGAGTAAGTTTGCTGTTTCGGTAAGGAATGTGTTTCTTGCTCTGGAAAAGAGAGTTAGATACATTTTTTAAGGATTATTCAACTGTACTTTAAATAAAAGGCTGCTTAGAATGACAAACAGCCATGAAACTTCCCTTTGACATAAGCAATTTTTCTCAACCTAGACATCTGAAACACTGAGTCTCTTGGAACTGTTTAAAGCCTTTACTACATGTGTATTACCTAGTTACTTTCTGCTCTCTGGATACATAATTACTACTTTTGTTATGAGGACAACTAACAGAAAAGGCAAACTACAAAGTACTTTCAGTTGGGAAGGACCTCTAAGCTCCCTTTGGTTCAATCCCTCTGCTCCAAGCAGGGTCAGCTGAGGTAAGATGCTAAGGACTATTGCCCCATTGGGGTTTTGATTATGTTCAAGGATGGAGTTCCCATAACCTTTCCAGGCAACCCCATTACTCAACCAGTTCAGCAGTTTTTCAATGTTTTCAGGACACTGGGAGGTAAAGCAGCACATACCTTTGGATCTGCCAGTGCATTAATGACATTCCCAAGAGCAAGCAGGGAGCGGTTAATGTTTGTTCCTTCTACAAAACGAGCCCCCTTGGCATTAGTTGCACTGGCACGTTCAGACCCTGCCAGGTCAATGAGACTCATTTTGGCCACGTGAACACTTTGCTTAAGACTTGCTGATTTAGCTTGCTGCTGGAGGTAAATCTATGATTAAAAAAGAGGAACAAAAATTAAAAGGGAATCACTAACCAGTAAGTTAATTCTATAGCGTAACAACTGTTTTCAGAAATTCTTATTGGAATCTCTCTCATAATCCAGGTTAAATCTTTTAGTACATATCTAACACCAACAGGCACTAGTGGCAACAGCAAATCCATTTCTTACACCTCTTAAACTCACCTGTTTTGGAGATTAGCAAGGAAAAAAGAAGCAGAGTGCAGCTGGACCAACTTTGACTGGGATGGAGGTGATTTTCTGCACAGCAGCCCATATGGTACTTTCAAATTTATGACCCAAACAGTGCTGAGAAGACACTAGTGATCAGCTTTTGCTAAGCAGTGGTTGTCTGGGGTCAAGGCAGCAGGCAAGAGCTTGCAAACACACAGCTGATCCCAACAGATCCAAAGTTTCTCAGAAGCTGCCATTGCCCAAGGAATAGTTGGCATCAGTCTGAGAGTGGCAAGTGATAGTTCTTCTGCACTCTCCACTTAAGTGAACCACAAGATTTTGTGGGTCACTTACCAACCCCTTGCTTTCACTCTTGTGATTCTCTCCCCCATCCTGCTCAGAGGATTAAGCAACCTACTGGTCTCAGGGCTTACAACAGCAGCAAAGATTGGTGAGGTTTTTTACTCTTTACTACAGGGAAAATGAATTTCACAGCTAAACCAGCCAGATTCTTCTGCACTATTGTACTTTAAATTGAAAAGAGATGCTCGTTTTTTGGACTGCAGGTTTAGGAGTATGCCAGAAAGATACCCAGGAAAAAGGCTGCACTTGCAGTGATTTGGACTTAATTGTATCTACTATCAAAAGGAAACAACACTCATTTACTGCTGTGAAAACACCCTCTGGGATCTTTAGGAACGTGATGCCCCCTGAGGCCATTTGTTCCCCCTGGTCCCTTCTTTCCTGAAACTTTCACAGGAGCTAAGATGCACAAGGAACTAAAATGCCTTTGCTTCCTTCTGCTAGTGAAGGCATTTCCTCAGGTTAATAAGGAAGTAGGCAGGGCATGATTATACAGTCAAAAAGAATTATTACAGTTACCCTCAGATGGCTTTTACTTTTTCAGGATTCTTTATAAAATTTCCCCTTCTTTTGTGCTAAGTGCCTTGACATTTGTTAATGAGGCTAATGGTTACTGGCACTTTCCTGAATTCACTTTTAGACAGTGAATTAGGAAAGAGCTGCCATGCATATAAGGTGACTGACTAAAGAAGACAACACCTCACTAGGTCTGGAGCTTTAAGCTTTGTGCATGAGAAATGAAGTCTTCATAGCAATTTGTAAGTGGAAAAAAATAATTGACAAGTATTGTGAGTAAAATAAAATCCTTATGACTTGCCATGAAATGTATGTCTATTCCAAACAGACATGTTTCTATATCAAACACTACGACTAAGTTTGCTTGTACTATTTCTAGCACAATAGACCAAAAAAGAAAAGAATCTCAGGCTGGGAACACTCTACCAGAACAAGCCAGTAACTATCATTAGTGAAGCAGGGAAAGGTGCAGTGACAGCCAAACTATGTTGTAGGACTCAAGCTTTCGTAAAAATTCAAAAGATACAGGAAATGCCCCAAAGCAGAAGCTTTTCTGTTTCTTTGTCAGTCAGCAGAACACTTTGAATAGAACAGCGTGGCAACTCGGATTTTACTTTCAGATGCAGTAATTATTGCCTGACCTAGATAGATATTTCAAACCCAAGACAGATGGTACAGTAAGGCAAAACTTGCATCTCTAAAATCAGCTTAGAATGTCCTAGGCCAAGACTTCTACCAATTTCTGAATGAGTTTCAGAAAACATCCTGCTCCAATAAAGCTAACAAGACCAAGCCAGCATAAAAGACAACTGGTCTCTACAAAGGCTTAAAATAACAGCAAAGCTGGAGTCATCAAAATAGCACTAGGGATTTCTCATCACTTAACATCTGTGGAACCAAAGACACAATTCTGTTCTTCAGAATGTCACAGACTTGTGGAAATAGATGTGTGATTTATTTAATTGCTTGCTGCTTGCAGAAATACACTAAGCCTGCTAGATAATACAATCAGAGCTTTTTCCTGAGTAAAGGTGAGGGAGCTGAGAAACCCCAGCCCAGCAAGTAAACAGAAATCAGCAGTTTCCTCTGCTCTGTCTGTGGCTCTGTACCTTGAGCCTTTCTAAAGGCAACACACACATGACAATGCAGATCTCAACCTGAACAATTTCAGAAGTCTTTGTACAACTGTGTACAATGTACAACCAGGTGCAAAATCTCAGGGGAAATGAAAAACAGGAGGGGCAATTTCAAGCAGAAGGTTAAGGTATATAAGAAAACAGAAGTTTTCAGATTGGCAGTGATTTTGCTCAGTTACATCAAGCTTTTGGCTCTAGTCAAGCATTGTCTCAGTCTGCACATCCAGTTGAGAACTTAACTGAGTTAAATGCTGTAATGCAAGGACCAGAATTCAAATTTATTTTCATATTTCTCAAACCAGAGCAGCAACAAATAAATAAACCAAGATAACATGCTTTGCAGTATACACTAACAGACAGAAGAAAAGACATTTAGCTAATGGGACCAGTTTTTAAATACTGTTTCTTCTTAAATATCACAGGTTGTATTTAAGAGGAGCCAGGAGGATACAGCAGTGGTCAGCAATGATCTTTGGAATATTCTTAAATTTGAGCAAATTTGTACAAGACATTCAGAACTCATTCATTTTCTAAAACTTGGGACATACCAGAATGGTAAGAAATCACTTCAGTGCAAAAAAAAAAAATAAAAATCAACATTAACCAAAATAAGCAGGATAAGAAAGTACTAGTTGAGATTCCCAGTTTATAGTCTATTTCTGTGAAATATTTTTCCTAGAGAAATGCTGAGCAACATGACAACACCAGAAAGCACAAAGATTCACCAATAACATTCAGTTTCTGAGGTTGCAATATGGAAGTATATTCAAAGCTCAAAATTGCTATTTCGCAGAAAAGACATTTCTTCTAAAGAGTATAAGTTATTAAATATATATTACATGTATAAGCTCAAACTATTGGAACTAGAGACCTTTCCTGGATTTTTTTTCGTATATAAACACTATGAACCTTTAGAAGTAAGGAGTCAACAGGAGTAAACTGGAAAACTTCAGCCTCCTCTTGCCCAAAATAAGGTTCAGCATAGTTTAGAAAGAAAAGCTTCTATTGTATTCAACTTTAAACAAAAACTACAACTCACAACAATGGCCACTGTGCATCTGTCATATCATCTTACCTGAAAGACAGCATGGGACCGGGAAGAGGAGGCATTCACATCTGTGGGATGCTGAGTCCTATTTTTATTTCCATAATCCAACATCTGAAGGATGTCCTCTGCTGATTTAGGCTTTAAGAGTAGAGCACAAGATTAATACCCTTTCTGTTTCTTTCCCCAGAACTACAGGAGATTCTACACTGATTCTAAATGACTTTAACATTTGAACTACCTAAGAGAAATGTCCTGTTTTGAAATTGAGACACTTCAAAGAAACATCCTCAGCTAAAATGCAGTAAGGCAGGAAAAGCAAGCCCTTAACTGCAGCAATTTCAATCAGAGAATGTTTTTGGTAAAGAATTTTAGAAGGAGCCTTATTTAAGAATGATTGACTGAATTGTTCTTGTATTAATGGATTAGTAATAGTTACTATTAGAAAAAAATAGTAAAACTAATTAGTATACTAACTTTTTTTAAATACTAACTCATCTTTTTTCCTCACAAGAATCAAGCTTTGGGAAGGATGATGTTCATGTAGTGAGCCAAACTAAGAACATTGTTTCCTGTCAATTCATTATTCCATGTACACAAAACCTGGAAGCTACACAGCATGTAACATACACTAACAAGGCTGCAAGAAATTCAGTCCACAAGAACTGATTTTCAAATTGGAAAACTAAGTTGTGTCACTGACTTTGCCAAAGAATTGCTATGCTGGCTGGAAAAAGCAATTTAGCATGAAACTTTTCAAACATGGCTATTTAAATTTCAGAAAAAACCCTGAGACTTCACAGCAGCGTAGAACACTCCAAGATGGCAATGAAGCTAAGATGTTTTAGTCAGAAACCAAATGTTCCAAAACCTGCTGGATGAGCACCAAGCCCATGGTACCCTTTGGATAATGAGGACTGAATGCTTTTATCCATTTGCCTTCAATAATATCAGCAGTTTTCTCCACAATGTACTTTTGACTTAGTAATTAGGTTTGCGAAATCCACTAGATAATTACCAAGTGCCATACAACTCCCAGAACAGTGAGAACTTCACCGTTTTCTCAAACACAACATGAGGTTTCATGAGTTTCTAGATGTATTTACACACCTGATGTAATGTCAGACCTTGAACTACCACTCCTTGCTGCCCATCCTCACGAACAGCCAGGGGCCCTGAGTTGACCAGCAGATCATGGATCTGTTCATTGTAAACCTAAAGGGAATTGAAAATATTTTATTAAAACTATCCTCCCATACTTGACAGAATTGAACAGAAATCGCCAGTCTTTTTAATACTTCAGACTAATTAACAAATTCATGGTGTAGAATTTTTCCCCAGCAGCTTAGAATATTCAGTTTGCATGATTTCTTTTTAGCCATTGAAACGGGAGTCACTTTCCCAGTAAATTGTTCTTTTATATATACAATAAAAACTTATTTTCATACCAAGAAAAGAAAGGTTTGCAACAAACATGAAACCAAGTCATTTACTTTCCCCCATTACATATCATAATTCATACTTCAGTGAGATTTAGTTCAAACATACTTCTGGTAAAATTCTTAACTACATTACTTCTTGGTCTGGGAAGCACATGGCAAAGCAAATGTTTCCTCCTCTCCTTCTCCCCAAATACTAACTATTCTTCCATTAAAACTGAGGGAGCTAGAAGGTAACAATTCTACTACTGCTGCTCAACAGCAGTGCCAAGACACCTGTAGAGACTTGTGTGATCTCACAGTGCTCATAGGATGTTATTGGCAAGTCCTGAAGTACAACCCTGAGAAGTCATTTTCTTGTGCACATCAACAGATGCTCAGAAGGAATTGATCAGCATGACACATATCATGAGAATGTTCAATGAGTATATCAGAAGGGATTGTCTTTTTTGGGCAGCATCTGCAAAACAGCAGCAGGTGCCTACAACCCTTAAATTTGCAGAGCACAGTTCGCTTCCACTCCTATCAGGGATACACCTTGTCAAGGCCCAGGGGATGGCAAAACCAACTTGTCTTTATTTATAAAATCTGCCTTATTGAAAGGAACATACCAAATGCAGGAACTCACTTACCTCTAAATAAGACACAGCAACATTGCATATTTTTTCCTCTTTTATTTCGTCAATGCGGTTATAAAGTGTCATCATGGTTAAATACATCACTCCGGGATCTTCAGGAGAACCTAACATTGTATGAGTCTTTCCTGCTCCTGTTGCACCATATGCAAGCACTGAATTTTCACCAAAAAAACCCAACAAAACAAACGTGTCATTTATACCAGTGAAGTAGTCAGAAACACAAAAGTCAAACAAAGATTCACAGACCTTCATCATTCTGCACAGCTGTTATGATAAGCTGATCAAGTTTCTCACTTAGGCTTTAACTTTTACAGCTATAATCAGGTGGCTAATTCAAAATAACATTTTGAAATTCATTCACTGACAATTGACATGGAAATAATATTTGCTTACTCTCCTAACCCTAAGGCCATCAACTTATTTGTGACAGGCATTTCATTTCCCCACCATGTTCCACCTGCCAATTAAAAAAGCCAAACTCTTAAAGAGCTCGTAAAGCTACCACACACTCAGGTGTACAACTGCTTCTGCTTGAGTAACTTGTCTCCTGATAAGCAAGCATACTTCAGATAAAATTCTGAAGTTATTTTCAAAACAGAGTAGAGCTATCCTAACCTCCACATGCTAAAAAGTTAGCTTCTCATATCTCAGAATTAAAACACAATGATTTATTTCAGGCTTTTTTAAGGCCCCTGCAGCAGTTGAAGACAATGGTACAAGCTTTAAAAAATTTATTGAAGCTGTTTAATTAAAGAAGATAAACAGCAAAGTTACCTGTGCAGTTATATCCATTTAAGAAGCCATCAATTAGGGTTTTGGTAGTATGCTCAAAAACTTCCAGTTGGGATGAACTTTCATCAAAAACAGCATCAAACATAAACTTAAGATCTTTCCTTTGTCTTTTGTTGATATCCCTGTTGGTCAGCCTCTTCCCATGTAAGAAGCTAACTTCTTCCTCCTTTGGGTCAAAGACCAACACGTGCTGGTCAACAACCTGAACAACCTTGCTGAAGTTGCCCTGTCTTTCCTTCTGGGTCTCTGGACGGACACGGACCACCACTTTCACATGGCTACAGATGTCTTCTTCCTTCGTAGGAGCCATAGTAACATTCCTTCTGCCCCACGGCTTGGTTTGCAAGGCTCAGAGCCAACAGCTGAATTGTTTCTGAAATTGACAAGGCAGAGTGAAAGGCTTTATATTTCAAATAAAACCTTGCACGCAGTTCAAACATTAGACCAGGACTATTATCTGACACCGGTGCTGGATCCACCCATCCCTTGCCAGTTGGCTACAACGGTCTGTTACAACTTTGGCCTGAAAAGGAGAGTTAATTCAGCACAGCTAGAACAAAAGCAACTAGCACTTCGCCACTAAACTCTTAAGTTTATGTTAATTCAAACTACTAAGTGACCTACTGTCTTCCCTCCGTATCAAGCTTACAGATGAGCTACCAAGTTTCCATATGCTAAAGGGAGTGGTCTCCTTATCCTTCAGCAGAACGCAGAGGAGCTGCTCTCCCCGGGTCAGCCGCGGTAGACGCAGGTTTGAATGGAGTTAAAGGGGAGTTACGTTAACGGGATTTGCGCGGGATACAGAAACCAACGCCACACCGGAATCGCTTTTCCCTCCCGGCAGGGAGCAGCGAGCCGACAGCGAGCTGCGCTTGGGGAAAGGCTCTCGGGCGATACTTCTGCCGCTGCAGGGCGAGCTCGGCCGCTCTCAGCCGAGC